CTAAGTTGGGAAGGGGAGACTGAACAGGTACAAGTCCCTGAAATCAGAAGAAGAGGTGTCTCGCTTCCCCCAGGTGTCTGTGAACAAAGGAAGTGGAAACAATAACTGATTGATCAGTATGGGGCCAGTTTTCAGATAAGACTTAGGGGTTGCTTGAGATGTACAATTGTGAGAAAACTTGTTGCATTGGTCTTTGGATCTGACTGAGTTTCTGGTCAGCATGACCAAGATCCTTAGTTAAGGATCTCTGAGAGGTGATCCAGCTTCCCAGCCATGAAGGGCTAGGTTCAAACAGTGCAACAAAGTCCTCTCGACAATTCTGACCATTGAAGAAAGTGTTTTTCACAAGACAGAAATTGGACTAGACCTATAATTGAATAAAAAGGGAACTGAGCTAGCTCCAGAATTGAGTCACCAGATGGAGTCAGTGTGGTTCATTCAATTCCCACTGTCACTTGGTGTTCTCATCTCCTCAGTTCCTTCAGTTTACCTCAGTTGCCCCTTTTGATTCATGGATCACTTATCTATAAGATAAATCTATTAAGTTTTTCATATATTCTTAATCAGGATTACATAAGTCCGGTTACAGAGCTCACAATGGACTAATTTTGACAAGAGGGATTTGCATGCCACCAAGGTAACTAAGAAAAATATAAACGTAAACACCATGAAACAAAAGGCCAAAGCAATACAGTGACTAACATGAGGTCTCCTTGTATCCCAGTAACCCACTCACAATGTCCATTTAATCAGCACCTTTTGAGTCCCAGATGTCCTAGGTAGTCATGTAGTCCTTGCATGTCTTCTTTTAGACATTCTGGAATAGGCTTCATTCTTAGGGCTGCTCTGAAGGAGGCTCTGCTTCTCTGGTTCCAAATCACTGTAGAGATTCCTAGACAATTCTGATAAAATCTGATAGTAACAAGACTTAACACAATTTAGTACAACCTCTTAAATTTCATTTTCCAATAACTAGTTCATCTGATAAAACAAGCTCAAATCTTATGAAACTAATCCTATTAACAACAGAGATACAAGAATAACATCAAATTAGGAACCCATAATTCACCTGAAACTTCAGAGATTTTCAGTTTTCATATATCACTTGATGTTATTTTTACCTAAATCCTCTACCTGATATAAGAATCTTTTAAAAAATTCATGAGTCTAACTTGTAAAATGAACTGTTCTGATTTTTAATATTCTCAAACAAATATTTTTAAAATGGGAAAATAATTTCACTTTCTTTACAATTATCAATATAATTTTATATGTAAACTCCTTAATCCAATTTTGAGAACTTATTACTAAAAACCTGAATTTTCTTGCTAGATACATTTGGAAGCCAGTCACATACGTGTGTATATAGTTCACAGAGAAAAAAAAACAAATATGGTTACTTTCTCAAAATTTACTATTCCAATTATTTAGAAAACTTTTACATCACATCTTTGCATTATCGCTTTGTCTAATCCCCCTTTTTGAAAGCTATCCTCCTTATAATTTGACCACAAATACAGATTAAAATTGTAAGACTTTTCATACTTGCATCCTATTATAGTAATTCAGAGATAGTCTAGTATCAGTCTATTAATTAATAGATTTAGTATTGTACTTACAAAACTTCTGCTGCTCACCTGCCCTGATTATAGAAACTTGCTGTGAAAGGAAAAGGAGGGACATAGTCATAACAGTGCCAAGACTTGTCCCCTTAAGGGCACAGACTGACCTGACATTTAACCATAAAGAAGAACTCTCTCAACTCTGTTTGATTCCAGACATGACCCAAGAGAAGCCTACAATTCTGTCATTCTGGCCTAACAGAGCTTTCTAGCTGCTGACTGGGGCTAACTCTAGCAACACTCTGCTGTTGCTCAGACCCAAACCCAGATGAGAAACTTCAGAGCTCAGAGCAGTGCGGCAGCAAAACAGACTTTGAGAGCACTTGAAAGCTTACCGGTGTCCAGCCTGTCCCCAAGACCTTAGAATAACATGGCTTTCAGTACCCCAAGAAAGCAGCACTAGGCCAGCCCAGCCTTCCCTCCTTAACATCAAGTCTGAAATCAGGAAGGAGGCTGGAAGAATGGGCAAACAACAAAAGAACCCCACTACTGAGCTCTGATGGAGGTAAGGATGCTCAAGACACAAATGCAGAAGAAAATGACTGAGAAAAACACAGCTTGGGCACAAACTCACCTAGAATTCCTGGGAGAGGTGAAGAAAGAAGTTTGGGGTTTTTTTAAGAGAGAAGATTTTTAAAAACAAGTTTTAAAATATATTTTATAAACAAAATGAGAGCACTTGAAAAAACTGGAAAAGAAATTTGAGCTATAGAAGAGAGAATTGGAAAGTGAATTAATAACATTTTCTTTATTATAGAGGGTTGTTCTCATTTTTAGGGGAGGGGGAGTATGGAATTTCCAGGAATGATTGTGGTATTAAAAAGCTATCAGTAAAACAAATTCTTAAAGGGGAGGAGAGGACTTTAACTTTACTCATAGGGTGCCAGACTCATAGCTCTAGATTAGGAAAGGACCTTTGTCCAGCCTCTTCAATTTTTTTTTTTGGTTGGGCAGTGGGGGTTAAATGACTTGCCCAGGGTCACGCAGCTAGTAAGTGTTATGTGTCTGAGGCCAGATTTGAACTCAGGTCCTCCTGAATCCAGGGCTGGTGCTCTATCCACTGCACTACCTAGCTGCCCCCAGCCTCTTCAATTTTACAAGTGAGGAAAGTGAGGGCCAGAGAAATTAAATTATTTACCCAAGGTTATACATCTAGGTAGGCGGTACAGTGCCGGGCCTGGAGTCAGGAAGACTCATCTTCCTGAGTTCAAATCTGACCTCAAACATTTATTAGCCATGTGACCCTGGGGAAGTCACTTAACCTTTTTTGCCTTAGTTTCTTCATCTCTAAAATGAGTTGGAAAAAGAAATGGCAGACCATTCCAGTATCTTTGCCAAGAAAACCCCAAATGGAGTCATGAAGAGTTAGACATGACTGAAATGGCTGAACAACAGTAACACGTCTAGTGAGCAGAGTTAGAATTTGAATCTCAGACCTCTGACCAATGCCCTTTCCACTGTACCATGCTGTCCAGTCTTTCCCTGTCCCTCAGAAGATATTGTAAATGAAAATGAATTAGTTTGCATTGGGGAAGCACTTTTAAGATTCTCTCAGGGAGCTGTTCTCTACCCATCACCACCACCCTAAGTCCTTCCCCAACACAAACACACGTTCTTATTCCTGAGAAGGACTGCCAGTAGGGGAAGTATTCCCAAAAAGCCCTTAGAGTAAAGTTGTGGGCTGTTATCACCTAAGGTAAAATTAGATCACTTTCAAAGTCAAGAATGAGCATTCCCCACTGTGGAAACTCTAGCATTCAAGACAGTGGACTTCTTCTGCCCTGTCTAAGGAACATCCTTGAGTTGTCCTATTCCAAGAAATAAAGACACCTACAACAGTGTGGTCCCTCAAGAGAAAGATGGAAGCTTTGTCACTTGCAGAGTAATTTTGCCAAGGCCGTGGTCTGTAAGCCCTCCAAACCAGCGGTTGTGGAAGAGGATCCAGCGTTTTCCATTGGTAGTCCATAGAAGTTCTCATCCACAGACTTCCTCTCTGCAGATGAAGCAGCCCAGAAACAGCAATGCAATGTGTTTCCATCCCAGCCTCATATCTCATCCTCTCATTCAATGGAAAAAGATTTTCTTATTTTTCAAAACCAGCCTTTCCCCGCTCTCAGAGTGGAGTAGTGACTTGGACCTTGCCCCACAGAAAGTGGCACTGGGGCAGCCGAGAGGTGCAGGCTCCCCCTTCACTGACCACGCGGGTGGGTGACAGTTTGTGCTGTCCTGAGGAGAGCAGGCTCCCTGGGGTAGGCAGGATTTATTTTGTTTAATTTTATTTCATTTAAGTTTAGTAGAAATAAGTCTGGCAGGGAAACAAATGTTAGGGATTGGATTTTACAATATATGGAACCCAAGGCTGTGAATTCAGTAGAGGAATCTGGGTTACTGAGCATAGTACAACTGTTCTCAGCATAAATGTGATGACCTCATAATGAAAGATGCACATTTTCTTCAGTGGAACAAAGGAAAAATTAGTGAGATGATTCAATTACATCTCCCTTTTTCAATGGCAATTTTGCTTTCTCAATAGGTTAATTAGTAGCATAGCCGTCCCCTCCCCCCCTTCCCCAGGCCAGCCGTGGTACACTTTGCAACAGGGAGCTACATTATAATGCAGCTGTATCTCATTAAGCAGCCAGCCTAGCATTTTGTGTGCACACACGCCTACTTCTTCACCATGCCAGCCGCAGTCCCAGGACTGCCTTGCCCTCTTTCCTGGAACAATGAAGAAAAACACTGTCAGGACTGCCCCCCGGTTGGGGAAACCAAAGTCCCCAGCCTTTTAGCTGGGGCAGAGGAGGGGAACACTGGCGTTGGACCCATTTCTCTAAAAGGTTGTTAGAGTGTGGGCCAGCCAGCTGTTTCAGGTTAGCAGGAGCACATTCTGAAATGTAAAGGAATTTTTGTCAGAGAAGGTGAGGAAAGTAGGAGCTGTGTGTTCCCTTAAAGTCTAATTATAATTAAAGCCAATCTGACTGCAGTGGATTTCTAGATGATTTCACCTCAGGAATTCCACCTTCCAGACCAGCTGGACTCCTTGTCCCTGTATAGGACGTTGCATCCTCCACATCCATGTCTTTACTTGGTCTTGCAATGCTTCCTCTTGGAATCCCTCCACTCCCCTTTAAAAGTCAGCACAAGTGCCTCCTCTTAGATGAGGGTCTCTCCTCACCCCCACCAAGAGTTAGGGCTCTCTCTGTCCCCTGACATTATTTTGTATGTCTTTTATGTTTTTGTCTGTATCCTCAGTGCCTGGGACTACTAGATGCTTAATAAATGCTTATTTATTGCTGAATTCTAAGTCAAATTTTCTCTCATCCAAGCATATATGGCTCCTTGGTTGTGTTGACACAACTGTTTCTTATCCCCTTGCAGGTACATTGAAAGGAAAGCTTTTCTGGAGCGAGTGGATCACAGGCAGTTTGAAATTGAGCGGGACCTCAGGCTGAGCAAAATGAAGCCTTGATGGCATTGGAAAGGTGCTCTGGCAGCGTACCCCCGCTTATGGTGTGAGCTCAACTCTTGTGTGTCTGTGAAATCTCTCCTGTTCTGCTCCCCGACTGTTTCATGGAAAGGATAGTCCAATGCTCTGTTTTCCATGTTGAAGCTCAGTCTGTATATCTTGATCTCACATGGTATCATTTATTTTATTTTTATAAGTTGTTTCTGTGGGAAACTGTTCTGGGACTGGTGAAGAGGATGGCACCTTCTTTACGGCAGAGAGTGTGTGTGTGGTCTCATCCAGATCAAACGGGTGGCAGGGATTTTTTCCCAACTTCATTCTGCCTGTGGTGGAGAGAAGACCTCAACCTTGACATGGACACTTAGCCTAGGTTTGCTGAAATTATCGTGACTCTCTTGGAGCACATCCTTTGCTCTGATACCAATGCTGAGAAGAAAAAAAACAGGCCCACTTCTGCTGGCCAGATGCCAGATCGCTGGACAGTTTTGTATTCAGCTTTCTCCTGTGTTCTCTTACTCTCTCTGTCTCTGTGTCTCTCCTTATCTCCCTCCTCTCTGTCTCTTCCCCCACCCCCTAACTCTCACCCCCATCTCCCTCTTCCAGGATGGGACTCCTTTTAGCATAATGTGAAACTGAAATTATGGATATATTGTTGCTCGATTGAAAATTGGTTTTCCTTTAGCATTTTCTTCTTTCCAAAGTAAAAGCCAATTTTTCTAGACTCAACCCCACCACCAAATCTCTTGTCACATTCATTTGCCGGAGAATGTCCTCAGACTTTCTTTCCCATCCCTCATGGGCAGTGAAGACACCCAAACCCAGGTCAGCTTCAGGATTTCTCTTGAGAGCAGCCAGAAGGAACAGTATCAGTAATAGGCCAATGGTGGGATGGGAACAGGGAGCTGGGGCCAAACCATTTGCAATAATAAAAGCATTAAAGCCTAGACCTCCCACGTGTCCTTGTTTTCATATGTAACGAGTGTGCCTGCTAATGCTCCTGGAGGTTCTACATTGACCGGATGGCTTATCATCCACCTACAGAGCTGTTGTAGCCAGTAGCGGCCAAGGTCTGTGTTTCTCCTGTTATTGTTTCCCATAAAATTGTGTTGGGTAGGCATCGTCCCGCTTTTTAGTGGCCTTCAGAGCTATGAAGTCCTGGTTTTTTTAATCATCTTTTAATACAGGCTTGTCTGTTCTCATTTGTTCTTTGATAAAGGGGGACAAGCTGACTTAAGGAAACCTTTAGGCTGCAGTACTATGATCTGAACTGCTGTAGTCATCCTTGACAATTTTTAAAAATTCTGTTGATGCTTTTTATTTTTACAACATAGTCACTTTTAAAGATAATCCCCTTCCCTTTCTTCCCCAACTGCACCCTTTCCCCCTTCCCAATCCTGCAATTGAACCTTTCCTTGAGACAAAACAAAAAATCAACAAAAGCCTAGTACTTTATCTGACAGAGTTCTTTCCTGTTGTCCCTTTCCTCTGCTGGGAGGGGGGAGGTATAGTCCCTCCTGTGGTCTACACTGACCGTTCCTTTTGAGATAAAGGAGCATGTTTCTCTCTTTACTTCTACAGTGTAGGGTATCAGTCCAAATAAATAAATAAAAGATGGCCACAACTAAAGTTGTCCCATTTGAAGCAAGGTGCTGTTCTGGCCTTATTTCATGGCCTAGTCCTGAGTGCAGTAGCAGAGGAGCAAGGAGCTTGTGTGCTGGCAGGAGTTGACATAAGGCCCCAAGAATGCCGCTTGGCTCCAGCTGACGTCATGACCCTGCACAGAGCAGGCTCATCTTTTGGTCACTTCACTTTCCCTTTGCAGCTTCCAATAGCATTGGGTTTGATCACGCAGTCCACTCCTGCTGGAGAATGTTGTCTCACAACTGCCATTTTTGTGACATGGCTTGGAGGCCTTCCGAATGGAAGCTGCTGAGCTCCATATAAGTTGTGGCTTTTTCTTTTTCAGTAGATTTTCACCCACTGTCCACAGGCAACTTTGGCCCCTAAGGGACTGATCATCAGGTTCAAGAGATCTCTTGGTTTTTTGCTCAGTAGGGCACATTATCCCAATTTCTTCCAAGGGAAGGAGAAGGAACTAATAAACTCATTGAATATCCCATATGTTTACTGTGCAGATCAGAGCCCTGTTGGGTGTTTAGTACCCACCATTTGAGAGCCCTCCACAGTACACCCTCTTTGTAATAGATTAATGTTGCAGCACGAAGCTCTATTCTTTCATTCGGTGACTCCCTTTCCTGGCATCTTTGCAGCACAATTCTGATCCCATTCATTGCCTCCTAACACATTTGTCAAGTATTTTTAAAAACTCTTGGTGTCCCTGCTGCTGCTGATCTTTCTAGCGGCCCGTCGGGGAGCTTCGTGTGGCGATTCGCCTCTTGCCTGTCACAGATGCGCTCCCTTCCAACATCGTGACCTGGTGTTCCCTAGACTTTGCATTCTGATATATTTCATGACCCTCTGCTTCAGCATCCACCTACTCTCAGATCAGCTCGATCCATATGTTACCACTTTAAAGACCACCCCTGGATCAGATTAAGCTTTTCATTTTTACTCACTAGGGCGATGAGCGACTTCCTCTGGCTACTCCATATACAGATGCCCTGAGAAGTATCTTATGAGACTGTCAAACAGCAGGATAGCACTCTGCAGTCCAAGAAATTCGAGGGACTTGTACAATTGAGTCGAAATGATTAATTGTGATCTTTTCTTACTTCAGAGACTCGCATAATGATGGTGTTTGGACAAAGTCAAGGAAAGTTGACTTGTCCTCTCTGGAGTTGGCAGTCATCCTGAAAAGATTGAAATCATAGGCAAAAGGAAGAAGGCCCGATCCTTACCCAACATACCAAAAGAAGGAAAGATTTTGCCCTTCTGATCTTTCTAGGACCTAGTTCGTTATTAATGTTTTAAATCATCTGCCTGATTACATCTCCATCTCAAAGCAGCTGTGGCATGTGGCCCTTCTCAGCCAGCTTCCTTTCGGGCTCCCAGGGCCTCCTGCCCAGGTGAAAGACCCAAGCCACTTAGACAAAAGAAGAAGAGTCCACCCTCTCACCCCCACCTGTTCATGTGGCAGCCAGTTTTCAGGAATTCTCAGATAATTTTGGCCCCTAAAGAGGAAAGTGGTCACACTGGGAAGATTCTCACTCATGTAAGTGACCTGTCAGCCATCAAGCCGTCATGCTTCACAGCACCAGCTTAAGGAAAAGCTAAGTCACTTTGAATGGTTGTTAACATCCCAAATACTGGGAGTGCAAAACTTGGAGGAGTCATTCCCCATCTTCAGTTATAAACTTTCTTATGCAGTTCTCAACACCAGACTTGATGTCAGCAATAGGAAAAAGAGACAGATGTGATCTTTTACCCAAGATGACCAGAAGCATTGGGATACATAGCATCTTGAATACTGAGGAATTCCAGAGGAAGAAGACAGGGCTCCTGCCTAAGCATTACATGAAAAGGCTTCTCTCCTTCATGTATATGTCAGGGAAATTCAACTCTTAGTGCCCTGTGCCATCTGCTACCCAGCGGAATGTTAGTCATTTTAATAGAAGTCATGTGATTTTTAAAAATATTTTTAAAAGCTCCCCTCAATTACCCTTAGGAAATTTGAGATACAAGATTCCCAGGAGAAAAGTAGCATGTGTTCACACACACGCACACACACACACACACACACACACACACAATGTGTAAATATATATATATGTATATATATGTATATATATATATATATATATATATATATATATATTCTTCTCTTCTCTCATTCCCCTCACCCCTAGGTCTTCCCTTGGGTTTCTGTTGTTTGAGGGAGCTATGACCATTTACTGGATGTTCTTGATTTGTTTTTTGAAAGGATTCAGTGTCATTTCTGGGCCATTAGGGAAAAATTAGTCCTTGTCACTTTTCCTTCAGTTTCACACCCAGCCCCAGATTTCAAAGCAAACTAGCTAAGCGTTTTTCTTTTTTTTTTAATTTTTTTTTATTCTGAATTTAACACCAAATAAGATTATAATATATAGCATTTATTTAACACTTTAAGGTTTGCGAAGTGCTTCACCTATCTTATTTGATCTTGGAAAGTAGGTGCTGCTCCTTACAGACAAGAACACTGAGGCTGAGACTGGTTAAATAACTTGCCCAGAATCACAGTTAATGTCTGAGGCCAGATTCAAACTCAGGTCTTTCTGATCCCAAATCCAACACTGTCTGCTGTGGCATTGCTATATACACAGTAGAACAGAAAAGGGGGCTTGTACATGAAACTGCAGGTGTCTAATATTTATAGATCGCTTTTCAAGTTGGTAGTAAATTCCACTTGTAGCTTTCCCGAGCTGTTCTGCTTGTCCATGTTTTCTGACCTTCTACTCTCTTTACATTTTAAAATAAATGCCTCAATGGCCTGCTTTTCTTTTTCTCTTTCCTCCTTTCTTTTTTTCTTCCTTCCTTCCTTTCTTCCATTCCTACCCTACCTCCTTTCCCTGCCCTCCAGTGGGGAGGGAAAAAAAAGGGAAAAAGCTCTTGTAATAACTACATTATCAGGGGGCAGTTAGGTGGTACAGTGGATAGAGCAACGGCCCTGAAATCAGGAGGACCTGAGTTCAAATGCGGACTCAGATCAAACACTTGATACTTACTAGCTGTGTGACCCTGGGCAAGTCACTTCATGCAATTGCCTAAAAAATAAATAAACAAATAAATGAATAAATAAATAGATAAATAAATAAATAAATGATCAGGTAAAACAGATTCTGGCTTTCTCATTCTTTAAAATTACTATTAGGATGCAGATTTCAACTCAGTGTAAAGAAGGAGTTTCTCACCATTGGATCTGCCCAACAGTGGGATAGCCTCACAAAGGAATCAGTTCTTTATCACTGGGGGCATTTAAGCCAGGTTTGCCAAAGGTGTTGCAGAGGAGATACTTATGTTAGGGAGAGTATGAAACTAAACTTCTAAAGGGCTTTTCAAGTCAAAGGGGTTTTTGTAAATTCGTTTTTCAATCATTTAAAAGTGATTTGCTGCTCTTTTTGTACCTTCTCGCTTATTACACCTTCCCACTATTTCACCCGTCATTTTAAAGCATTTCCAGGTATGTGTAAATGGTCTCATCAAATTTAAACAAACTGTTTCTCTTAAACACAAACCAATTAGTTCCCAAGGCACACTTGATGATTTTTGATCTCTAATCAGATAGTGATTTGGGGAGCCCCTTAGGTTTTTAAGAGTAGTATCAAATTAGGTCAATAGCAGAAAACACAGTGCAAAGTGCAGAATAAGTGAAAATAACAAGTGAATTGAAAGGGGAATAGGGGATGACTGAGAAACTTGGCCAATAGAATTCAATGAATAATGAAATTCAGTGAGTCATTGACAGGTAGCCCCTGAAAGTGACCAAGGCAGAAATGGACTAACCAGTGAACCTTCTTTCTTCCCATTCTTGGGACCTGACCCATATTGCATTTGTCTTCCCTGGTTATCCTCCTGTCAGACAACTCCAACCATCATGCCTTCCAATTTCTGCCCCTAGAGATGGCTCTTGACCTACCCAAACTCCCTTTTCCCTCAGTGTATTCATCTGCCCCCTAACCAATGACTCAGTTTCTTGTTTTCCTTTTGAACCAGTATTCTGCCCACCATTTACAAATAACAAGTGACCACTTGGACAAACCCTGGGTTATCAAACTGTGGTTTAGGCAGTGAACGCTAACGGCGTAACTCTCCAAAAAAAAAAAATAATAATAATAACATTCCTTTTTCTAATAGTAATTGTCCAGGTAAGGGAGGCTGGGAGGGGGAATGGAAAGGGGCTTAGAGGAGATTGAAGATTTCCTCTTCTAATCAAGTGCTTGTGTCCAGTGATCAAAGCAACCCTGCCCACTCCTCTATAGATTCCTGTTCGGCAGCTGAGGATTTCTGGCT